AAGTGCGCGGACTCTAATCTGGGAGAACCGGGTTTGATTCCCCACTTCTCCACTTGCACCTGCCAGATGACCTTGGGCAAGTCATAGTTCCTGTTCTTGAAAAAGAGCAGTTTCTGTCAGAGCTCTCTCAGCCCCACCTACCTCACAGGGTGTCTGTTGTGGGGAAGGGAAGGGAGAAGAATTTGTAAGGTGCTCTGAGAGAGCCAGTTTGGTGTAGTGGTTAAGTGCGTGGACTCTAATCTGGGAGAACCGGGTTCGATTTCCCACTCCTCCACTTGCACCTGCTGGATGACCTTGGGTCAGCCACAAGTTCTGTCAAGAGCTCTCCCAGCCCCGCCTGCCTCACAGGGTGTCGGTTGTGGGGAGGGGAAGGGAAAAGAGTTTGTGAGCCGCTCTGAGACTCCTCTGGGTAGTGAAGGGCGGGGTATAAATCCAATCTCCTCTTCTCTTCTTTTTTTTAAAAAAGCTTCTTGATGTTGTGTTCCCATCTGGGTAACAGTGGGTCACAGTATATCACAGGACCAGAAAGAGCCAGCATGGTGTAGTGGTTAAAGTGTTGAACTGGGATCTGGGAGACCCCGGTTCGAATTCCCACTCTGCCATGGGAGCCTGCTTGGTGTCCTTGGGCCTGTCACACACTCCCAGCCTAGCCTACCTCACAGGGTTGTTCTGAGGATAAAAATGAGGAGAGGAGAATGACGTAGACCACTTTGGATCCCTGTTGGGGAGAACGGCGGGATGTAGAAAAAGTAAACAAATAAATAAAAGCAGTCCCCTTTCTTTGGACTATGGCTCAGTGAAATGTAGCAAGTCTTAGAAGAAGTAGAAGAAGAGATTGGATTTATACCCCGCCCTTCACCCGGAGTCTCAGAGCGGCTTATAATCTCCCTTCCCCTCCCCACAACAGACACCCTGTGAGGTAGGCGGGGCTGAGAGTGCTCTCTTGAGAACTGCCCTTGAGAGAACAGCTCTGAGAGAACTTGTGGCTGACCCAAGGTCACACCAGCAGCTGCGAGTGGAGGAGTGGGGAATCAAACCCGGTTCACCCAGATGAGAGTCCGCGCACTTAACCACGACACCAAACTTAGCTCTTCAGGGCCACCGGTTTGTGATGGAGACCAGGCTGCCGTGCCTGGGAAGCAGGTGCCACAGCAGATGGAGCGGAACACGCTTTCTGCACCTTGAGCACTTCGAATATCTGGACTAAGGCTTCCATGCACTGTGATCTAACGTGCTTTACAGATGACAAGTGGGAACCCACAAGGGACTTGCGGGAGGCATCTCACGTCCCCTCCCCCATTATTTCCTCTTTTCCTTTCCTGAAAGCCCCATAGCCTCTCCCCTTTTCCTGCTCTCCCTTGGCGATGTTCAGAGACCTGAACATACGTTAGACGTCTTGTTCACATGTGTTCTTATGTGCAGACCCTGTGGTGCCCTTGCATAATTGTGGAAGGATCGGCTATCGTTTCACTGCAAATCGGCACCGGGTCTGGCATCCCGCCCTAGAAAATCCTGTATTCTCCCGAGTGGCACAGAAGAACCGTAGTTCCGTGGGTGGAATGAGTCGCGTGCATTTTGCTAAGCTGGGACAGAATCTCGTGTTCTCCGTGAGTGGCTGTGAAATGAGGTTTTCGGCCTGGGGGGGCTGTCTCAGTTGAACAGCCATGAAGAGTAACTGAGAGGCAAACCTCCACAGGAGGTGTGGATCGCTAATGGAAAAGCCTTTTTTGTCGCATCCAGGAGCTGAGACACCTTCCAACTCACCCTGTTCTGTCAAAGCAGTCCCAGAATGTACTGATTAGTGGTTTTTCTGCTCATCTGCAGCACATGAGAACATTCAGTTATATGGCCTTCAAGTACAGTTGCCAGGCTCCAGGTAGAAGCCAAAAATGAGAGATCACGGGACGAAGTGGAAATCCAAAAACAACATCCGTGACAAAAATAACGAAGAGTCAATGAAGATACGTTGCAAAATCATTTACTGTAGTAATTCTATAGAAAATTCTCTTCTGTTATCGCTCACATGCTAACGAATGCTGCGCCTTGTAAACAATTTGTTTCACAATATTTACTGTAGTAATTCTGTAGAAAATCTCGTTCTATTATTGTTCACACGCCAACGAATGCTGCGCAATGTAAGCAATTTGTTTCACAATATTTGCTTTATCTGAGCGTGTAACTATCACAATTCTTATCAATGACTACTTATCGACTCTTGAAGGAAACATTCCATACGAAGACCTTGGTTTCTTTTATTAGAATGTTTCCTTCAAGAGTTGATAAGTAGTCATTGATAAGAACTGTGATTATTGACTCTACGTTATTTTTGACACGGATGTTGTTTTTGGATTCCCAGGCTCCAGGTAGAGCCTGGAGATTCCCTAGAATTATAAAACTGGTGCTCCGGACCACAGAGATGAGTTCCCCCGGAGGGAATGGCTGCTTATAGAGTCAACTCTACGGCTGCTGAGATCCCTGCCCATCCCCAAACCCTCCCCAGGCTCCACCCCCAAATCCCCAGGATTTTTCCTACAAAGAGTTGGCAGCTCTACCTTTAAGCCAGACAGATCCAGCTGCTGAAGCTGCACTACCTCCCCTATTTATTTTGAACCTGACTTGAAACTTTCAGGGTTCTCGGGCAACTACAAGACCTTGAATCATGGATCACATTCTGAACCATGTGTTTTTTTGGTAGCTGGTGTAAGTTTCTAACCCCCTCTTTCTAGCCCTGTCCAAAAAGCAGACGCCAAAACGTATGTTTATCCTAGCAAGATCGTGGAGGGAGAAATGCCACTGGGGATGATATTAACTGAATTCCTCATGAACAGTGCTCGAAATTGCTTTGGGTTCAGCCATTTGGACTCGTAATCACAGAAAACGTTCGGCGAGGCCCACGTATAACCGCCCTGAAATCACTTGTGTTTTCTTTAACGACTGTCTCAATCTCTCGCGTTGTGCAGAAAGCCTCTGTTACAAATCAGCCGCTTACAACAGCAAAAAAACCCAACCTAGTTAGCGAAGTGAAGCTCTTTTGGAAAGGTGCCCGTCGGTGGCGTTCATCGTGAATTCACTGCTGGCTCGCGTACTAGACAGTCTCCTTGTCTCGGCTTCATAGGAACTCTGTGTGTGTGTGTGTGTTTTCATCTAAGCTCCGAAACTATCACAGCTGCGTGCGTAGCAGAAGCCAAGGCAACATCTGTGAAGTGTGATCTATTCTCCCCCCCCCAAGTAATTCACTCTCTTTCCCCCAGACTGCTATTGCCTTGGCCGGAAAGGGTGAGAGGATAGCAGAGCCTTTAAGTTTGTGCTTTTGCACGGGAGCTCTTAGAAGTGGATGGCCCAGGGTAGCCCAATTGTCACGTCTTGGAAGCTAAACAGGGTCGGCCCTGGTTAGTACTTGGATGGGAGACCACCCTGGGAAGTTTGGGGGCACAACGCAGAGACAGGCAAGAGCAAACCTGCTGTCATTGTCTCTTGCCCTGAAAACCCTACAGAGGGTCACCGTACATTGGCTGCAACTGGACAGCACACAGTTATTAGGCCCAGATGGCCTGATCTCCTGAGATCTTGGAAGTTAAGAGCTGATCATTAGAGCAGATTTTAAAGGGCTCGATCTGTAAGCATCTGAAGGGCCACTTAGTGATCTGAAGAGAGCGACGAGGATGATCGGGGAGACTGAGCCCCACGAGGAAAGGCCCAGGGCCTTGGGAATGTTTAGTTTGGAGAAGAGGAGATTGAGGGGGGGACAGGATTGTTCTCTCTAAATATTTGAAAGGCTGCCGCTTGGAGGAGGGCAAGGAGCTGTTCCCGTTGGCACCAGAGGAGAGGACCCGAAGCAACGGGTTTAAATTACATGCAGAAAGGGATCGTCTGGATATTAGGAAACACTTTTTCACGGCCAGAGTGGTTCAAAGGTGGAATCAGCTGCCCAGGGAGGTGGTGAGCTCCCCTTCACTGGCAGCTTTCAAGAAGAGGCTGGATGGATATTTGTCAGAGACGCTTTAGGCTTTCACAGTTCCGCAGGGCCTGCAAGACGGAGCTCTTCCGCCAGGCTTTTAATTAGGAGCCGCCACTACCACCTCCGCCAACGACCGTGAGGGACGGCCCAATATAAAACTTTTACAGTACCGTGATGGATCGGCACCGCCAAAATGGGCTCTGGGTCAATATCCCCTGGGTTAATATCCTCAAGCCTTCCTCTTGATTTGACTGAAGCAATAATACCACTGAGCACTTTATTAATGTTAATCTGACTGTTTTATTTTGATTTTAATGTTTTATACTGGCACTTGAGGCCCTTGTTGTGAGCCGCCCTGAAGCCCGCTTGCGGGGAGGGCGGGATAAAAATGTGAGAAATGAATAAATAAATAAATAGGCTGGTCCTGCATTGGGCAGGGGGTTGGACTAGAGCAGTGGTGGCGAACCTATGGCACGGGTGCCAGAGGTGGCACTCAGAGCCCTTTCTGTGGGCACGCGTGCCATCGCCCCAGCCAGGCCCAGCTCATCATTAAAGTGTCGAATTCTCTGCCAAATAATTTTGAGTAAATGAAAGCATTTGGGATTGCTTTCCTTACTTTGTTTGGATCATCTTAAGTTAACTTCTGAGTTGTTTTTTCTAAAGGAAAACCTCAGTATTCAGGTTAGATTGCCGTGTTGGCACTTTGCGATAAATAAGTTTGGGGTTTGGGTCGCAGTTTGGGCACTCGGTCTCTAAAACGTTCGCTATCACTGGACTAGAGGATCTGTATGGCCCCTTCCAACTCTATGCTTCTATAAGCAGGCTCAGCCCCGGTTTGTGCTGGATGGGAGGCCACCAAGGAAGCCCAGGGTCGCTGTGCAGAGGCAGGCAAGGGCGAACCACCGCTGAACATCCCTTGCCTCGAAAGCCCTCGAGGGTCGCGATAAAGTCAGCTGCGATTCGACCGCACTTTCCAGAACGGAGGGGATTCCCCACAGCCTGCGTACGACATTTCTTTATACGAGCAGAGTCCAATACTCACCAAACATTACAGTGAGAAGGGCTATCGGCATCACAAACAGCCCGACCAGCAAGTCGGCCACCGCCAGGGACATGAGGAAGTAATTGGTGGCGTATTGCAACTTTTTCTCCAAGGACACGGCCAGTATGACAAGGATATTCCCCCCGATAGTGGGGATAATGACCATGAGGATCAGCAGGGCTGCCCAGTGCAGGGTGTTCCCGTCCCCGGCGACCGGCTGGGTCGATCCGTTGCCAGATCCAAACGCGTTCAGAGGCGAAGCCATCGCGGTGCCCCGTCGGATGCCTTCAGGGACCGGACGTTCCTCAAATCCTTTATAAAGCCCAGGGATGTGTCTTTTCTCTTTGGTCCGGTGCGATGCAGGCAGAAGGCCGTCATTGTAAACTCCTCATCTGCTATCCGGAGAGGTTCCGCGCATGTATCCAGAATTTTTGCTTCCGGTCCGAGGTGGGGGGCTTAAAAACGAGCGTGCCGACTTGGGCCCATTTCCGGCGATCCTCATTTGCTGAGCTGCCCCTTTAAGTGGATACCCCCCCCAAAAAAAAATCTTGTTTGGGTCTCTAAGGGGCCGCTGTACCTTTAAATGGGAGCGCTCAGAGCATTCAATGGATGGCGAAGAGCGGAGCGCTGAATTAGCTCCTTGTGTTCGCTCACACCATCTCTTCTGTTTTAAGAAGCTGCACGCTGAAGGCTTCACCCTGGATAAAAGAACACACACACACACATTACGTTTTTTCCCCCCTCTAAGCTGATACACCGGGATTGTGGCACCGAGCTTTGGGGTGCGGCCGCAGGTTGATCTACCGTGAAAACGTATATCTTCCAGGTTTTGATCAAAACAGCTTACGGTCTCCAAAAACGCAGAGAGAGCTCAGTTGTGCTGTGTGGGTGCCCCTCCGCTCCTATAAACAGCTACGTGGCAATAGCGAAGTCTCAAGAGAATAATTCCAAACCCTTTTCTCTCAGTAAAACTGCATTTCCTTTATTGCCCTCATCAATAGAATAGCAGTCTCCGGCTAGATAGAGGCTCCCTGTGTTACATTTCCACTTATTCAGCAGGTGAGGAGCAGTCAGCCTCCAGAGGGAAACTGAAGATAATAAATCTGAATAAGGCTAAAACTTGTTCAGATGGGAGGGGCGGGAGGTGTAATTCTCTCAGACCGGGGTGATCGTTTGCGGATTCTCGAACAAGGATTTGACCAAACGATCTCAAATCTGCCTAGAACAGAATCCGGCGCAAACTTTGTAAACAGTTCTTCGCGAACAGACTCACAGAATTGCCCTTTGGACTCTCGAATCTGTTCTCAGTTAATTCCGGCGCGCTTCCCAATAAACTGCGTGTTAACGAGACTCATCTCATATCCTCACAGAGCCGCTAGGATCTTACAAAGAACGCCTTACCTTAACGTTTTATATTTTTCCCGTCTCTGGGTTTTAGCAGAATTCCCTCGTCGCCCGGTCTGGATGCGTTCTCTCCCCCAAAGCCTGCGTGCGCTGCCTTGTTTTTCACACACTGGATTTCTAGAACGTCTCACACACACGCACACACACACTGCGTTTCCTTCTTCAAAAGCGGCCGCGCTCCTTGGCCATTAACTCCCCCGGTGCATTTGGCTTCACTTCGTGGGTTAAGGCTTTTGTCGCTGCCCGTCAGACGGAGGAGGGGAGACTCAGCGCTTTCCTCCCTCTGTCCTGCTGCCTTTCGGTAACTTTTACGCACTTAATGAGTCCCTTAAGCGCTTCCCAGCCCTTCCTCTTCCCTTCATTAGTAGACTCCCAGCCTGCCGCTATCATCTGTTGATTGACTCATTCCAGCGCATCCAGCTCCAGTGCTTGAAAGCAGAGTAGCGAATGAGTAGAGAGTCTTCCATACACACACACACCCTTCTGCATCAGGAAAAGACCCACGCAAGGTTGTATCCCCGTTCCTCTTTTTTCAGCCCCCAGTCCCAGAGTCTAGGTGGATGGATCCAGCAAAGGACCATTCATCTCACTGGTGCATATAATAATGTGATGTTCCTTTTAATCAAAGAACAGCAGTATAGCCGTGTTCAGACGCAGTATCCTCCGTAGCTGAAATGTTTTAAGATACCCATAAATATAGGAAGAGTGCCATTGTATACAGTTAGGGGAGGGGCCGTGGCTCTGTGGTAGAGCATCTGCTTAGCAGGCAGGAGGTCCCAGGTTCAGTCCCCGGCATCTCTGTGAAAAGGACCAGGTAGTAGTAAGTGATGTGAAGAAGAAGAAATTTTATTACGGCATCCAGCCAGAACAATCCAAACACTTCAGCAAGGGGCACCAAAATAAGATATTACGAAACATACAGTATAGAAATATAAAATACCTATAACGGTTTGGTGTCGTGGTTAAGTGTGCAGACTCTAATCTGGGAGAACCGGATTTGATTCCCCACTCCTCCACTTGCACCTGCTGGATGACCTTGGGCAAGCCATAGTTCTGATAAGAGCTGTACTTGAAAAAGAGCAGTTTCTGCCAGAGCTCTCTCAGCCCCACCTGCCTCACAGGGTGTCTGTTGTGGGGAGGGGGAGGGAAAGGGATTGTAAGCCGCTCTGAGACTCCTTTGGTTAGTGAAGGGCTGGGTATAAATCCAATCTCTTCTTCTTCTAAAAGACACACAAAAAAGGGAGAGATGTGCCATTTTACAAATTGAGCTGTGCCTTTCAATTGCAACAGCATGCCACCCAAAATTTAGCCACAATCTTAGTAATAGAGTGATTTTTCATCAGATAACAGTTTATTACAGCAATCTGAGTCTGGCATGCAAGGAGTTCCTCTGAAAGGCCAACAGCAGGGCATAGAGGCTGAGGCCTTCCTAAGAACCTCAGAAGAGCCCTGCTGGATCAGACCAGTGGTCCATCCAGTCCAGCCTCCTGTGTCACACAGTGGCCGACCAGGTCCTCTGGAGGGCCAACAACAGGGCAGAGAGTCCGAGACTTTCATAAGAACATCCTATCTCACACAGTTCCAGTTCATCTGGCGGGCCAACCACAGGGCACAGAGGCCGAGGCCTTCCCCTGATGTTTCCTCCTGGTGCTGGGATTCAGAGGTTGACTGCCTCTGAACGTGGAGTTTCCCCTCAGTCACCATGGCTGTTATCCACTGATAGACCTCTCCTCCATCCATCTGTCTCATCCCCTTTTTAGAGCCATCCATGCCTGTGACCACGGTTACATCCTCTGGCAGTGAATTCCACATTTTAATCTCTCATTGTGTCAAGAAGTGTTTCCAGACTCTGACTTGTAGACCACACTAACACCCTAGAATACAGAGGAGGAGGAGGAGATGATGATGATGATTGATGATTATGATTGGATTTATCCCCCGCCCTTCACTACCCGAAGGAGTCTCAGAGCGGCTTACAATCCTCCTTTCCCTTCCCCTCCCCACAACAGACACCCTGTGAAGTAGATGGGGCTGAGAGAGCTCTCTCGAGAACTGCCCTTGAGAGAACAGCTCTGAAAGAACCTATGACTGACCTGAGGTCACACCAACAGCTGCATGTGGAGGAGGAGTGGGGAATCAAACCCGGTTCTCCCAGATTAGAGTCCGGGCTCCTAACCACTACCCCAAACTGGCTCTCCCTTCTGCACAGACCTTGGGGAGGGATGCTACCTTGCTGGCCATGGGTGTCTGAGATGGCACATCATACGGATGATCTGAACGGAACCGATTCAGATCAGAGCGATTGCCACAACGCCAGGAGCCGCATCGGGCTCGGGGGGGCCTCAGGGCAAGGAGCCCCCCTCTCAGCTGCGCAGTGTGGTTGTGACAGTATGGTTGGATGCAGATATTTCAGCTAGCCCAATAATCCCCCTAAGCCGTGGAGTCTTGTGAGCAAAAATTCTACTTTGTGAGCTCCTGGCATTACAGTTGCAAGCGAGCGATTCGGCTCCCGCATAAATTGGTTTGCCCTGTAGCCATCCTTTCTGAGTTAAGACAGAAATGTGCGAGCGAGCCAGAGGCTAAAAAACTGTGAGCTAGCTCGCACTAACTCAGCTTAGAGGGAACACTGGCCACGAGCCCTTGGGAGAGCAAGTGGAATTGTGGATTCCAAATGAATCCCGAAGGTGCTGAAGAAGGCGGAGACCTGTAGGAGGCTTGTCTCCGCTTTGACAATGTGGTCTTGAATCTTTTCCAACGCAGCCTGCCAGAAGAGGTTCCTCTGGGGAAGAGAAACTGTGGCTTTTCTGTGTCAGTTTCACATCTAAATTCCATGCCGCACTGTGGCTTAGAGCCATCGTTAACGCCGAGAGAGCGCCGCAAAAATATAAATGGAGTGGTGCGATCTAATTCCGTCAGCTGGCACGCCGTCCTCTGGTGAAAAAAGGTCTGAGCTCTGCAGGTACCCTTCAGTAAATATGTTTGCTTTGGAAGCGTCCGTTATGCAGCGGAAGCAGAGCTGTATTTTGCCCTACGCCGGAGGGCTAGATCTCTGGCTGGAGTGAACATTTTAAAAAGCTTGACCTCTGCTTGAAAGACAGGGGTTTGCTTCTTGTCAGGGAGAGGCTGTTGGATTTTTTTACCCTAATGGGATGGTCTTCAGCAACACAGCAACGCAGCAGCGCCTGCCAAATGTGTGTCCTGGAGCTCACCTGCTTTTCGATCCTTCTGGGTAAGATCTAAAAGCTCTTGAATGAAACAGGGGCAATAGGTGAATGAAACAGGTCACTCCGTATCAACTGTCTTGACCGTCAAAGTGCTGGACTCACGCCAGGCAGGCAGTCGACACGTTTTTTATGTGTCTGCCAGGGCTTGGAAACCGCTTCCTGCGGCCACAGTGGGGGTATAGTCTCTCTTTCTTTGGGAACTGGAACCCAGTAGCCATCTGTTCCCCAAAGCATGTGGTAGATAACTCACTGAAGACGTCGACTCAGTGTGCGACTGCAATTAAAAAAGGCAAATGCTGTGCTGGGGATGATTAAGAAGGGGATTTAAAACAAATCAGCCAGTATCATGATACCCCTGTATAAATCAATGGTGCGGCCTCATTTGGAATATAGTGTACGGGTCTGGTCACTGTACCTGAGAAAAGATATTACGGCATCAGAAAAGGGCAACTAAAATGATTAAGGGGGTCGGAACACTATCCCTATGAAAAAAAGTTAAAGAAGTCAGGGCTCTTTAGCTTGGAGAGTGACGCTTGAGGGGTGACGTGATCGAGGTTTACAAAATGATGCATGGGATGCAGAAGGTAGAGAAAGATGTCTTTTTCTCCCACTACAAGAGCTCGTAAGCACTCCATGAAATGAATGAGCAGTAGGCTTACAACAGAGAAAGGAAGTATTTCACCCAAAGAGTAACTAACCCATGGAATTCACTGCTGCAGGAAGTGGTGGCGGCGGCGGCTACAAGGATAGACTGCTTCAAGAGGGGATTGCCCCAAGATCCAACAGTTTTGGACGGATGTGAAACATAAAATTGAGAATATCACAACTCAAAATCTCTCTCTCTCTTGCCTGAATCCTTTCTGTTAAACCACTGGGATGATTCTATTCAAGACCATAAAAAAGAACTCACAGCAACTCTATTAGCAATAGCCCGCCTGGCCATTGCTGCAAACTGGAAATCTCCAGCTGCACCATCAGTGACAGACTGGCAGGACAAGCTTTGGGAACACCTTGTCATGGCAAAAATTGCTGATTCGCTCAGGTGTACACAATCAAATACCCCACCCCACCCCACATTTGTGTCAACTTGGTTCCCTGTAGTCTCCTACTTACAAATTCTAGATATTCTCCCCCCATACCCTCTTTATCTGAAGTGGTTAACCTTGTAGGTTTCAACTTTTTCCATTTAGATGACATTCTTGTAGAGGGGATAGGATAAACATAGGATAAACATATGGAACAGAGGTCCATGAGTCTAGATGGAACACTATGTCTGGGGCAGTGATGCTTGGAGGGCAAGAGTGGGAGGGCTTCTGGAGTTCTGGCCCCGCTGGTGGACCTCCTGATGGCACCTGGGTTTTGGCCAGTTTGATTCCCCACTCCTCCACTTGCACCTGCTGATGTGACCTTGGGTCAGTCACAAGCTCTGGCACAGCTGTCCTTGAAAAAGAGCAGTTTGTGTCAGAGTTCTCTCAGCCCCACCCGCCTCACAGGGTGTCTGTTGTGGGGAGGGAAAGGGAAAGGAGTTTGTAAGTCGCTCTGAGACTCCAAGTGAAGGGCGGGGTATAAATCCAATCTCCTCCTCCTCCTCCATCATCATCATCATGTTCTTAAGCACCAGGCCAGTTCCTGTTTTTCCTCTGCCACCTCTATGCCCAAGCCTCGGAAGTATAATCAGAAGTAGGACACTGTTTTGCTTGGAACGTCCCAACGTTTTGGAGTTGGCCCTGCTCCCGTGTCAGCGATCTTGCGGTGCCCGCTACCCTTTCTCAGAATTCCAAAAGTCCACTGTGGATGTGGGGATGCTTCCTTTCCTGTCTATTGAAACGGGTTGCCTTTTTTGCCTTTTGTTTTATCAAAATCGGAGAGGGTAAAGATGGCAACCTCACAGTGAAAGAGGTTCTGGGTAAAGACACTTAACAAGAGGGGATCGGTTTGGGGAAGCACCGCAGAGCAGTTGTCGTGGCATCTGTGTGAAATGCTCCCCCGAATGACCGTTCAGGAATGAGCGTTCCCATTGGCTTCCCGATAGCAAGCGACACTCAGTGGGACGAGAATCCTTTGTTGGGCAAAGTGGTGAGGAGGACTGTATGAAATCAACCCAGCAAGGGGGAGCAGAGTTCTGGACAAACACGGGCAGCAGCTGGTAAAAGGACTCCCCTCCTCCTTGTTGGATTAAAGCAGTGGGCTTCAGAGCAGGGCAGTGGCTTACCTGTGGAGCAGGTTTGGAAGGGCCGTGGCTCAGTGGCAGAGCATCCGCTTGGCAAGCAGAAGGTCCCAGGTTCAATCCCTGGCATCTCCAGTTAAAAGAGCCAGGCAGTAGGTGCTGTGAAAGACCTCTGCCTGACACCCTGGAGATCCGCTGCCGGTCTGAGTAGACAGTACTGACCTTGATGGACCGGTGGTCTGATTCAGTATAAGGTAGCCTCATGTCTGTTTGTACAGCAGATGTGGCTCAATGGTGGAGCATCTGCTTGGCGTGCAGAAGGTCCCAGGCAGGCCTAGAGCCAGGATTTTGTAGGTTTTTGGGGCAAATTTCTGTCTGGTGGGGCTGAAGTTCTCAGTGCAGAAAGAAAAGCCATTTAGCCAATAGAAAGCTATTACCAGGCTAGATCTCTAAAATGCAAGCTGCCAGCCACTTTAGACGACAGTTCTCAGCTGCTGCAAGTTAATCACTTCTGCCAGTCTGAGCAACAATTCCGATAACAAGCCAGCAAGTGGGGGTGATGACTTCTATAGTCGAGAAAACTAACACTTAGGCAGGAAAGCTCTCTGAAAGGAGACCAGTTTCTTGACACAGAGTTAGAAGGGATCCTAGAGGTCACCTACTCCAACCCTCTTGCTCAGTGAAGGAATTAACTACAGCACCCCACTCTGCTTATAGGAGCACACCTTTTAAAAAACGTTTTAAAATGATTGAAAACAAGCATTTGCAGGAGAAATTCTTGTGGGGCTGTGCCTTTAAGAAAGGGGGCAGAGCTTCCAAAAGTCCCACCGTAGCTACGGGCCTGGTCCTAGGCTCAATCCACAGCATCTCCGTTTAAAAAGGACCAAGAAGCCTGAGACCCTGGGGAGCCACTGCCAGTCCGAGTAGACACGGCTGACTTGGATGCACCAAAGGGTCTGATTCGTTATAAGGCAGGTTCGTGAGATTTTGTTTGCCGAAACCGCGTGAGACCCAAGAAGCATCTCGTGGATTACGGATCGAGACCGGAAATGCTCTTTCCCCGTCTCTGAAACCAAAGCCTCTAACATTCTCCTTTCCTGTGCTTTTTACAAGCCGGATTTCACAGTCTGGGTTGTCGTCCCGTCCCCCCGTCCTGTAAGCAACTTTGCACCGAGCCCAACCTGCTGGTCTCAGGCCTTCTTACGTTAATCAATACCAGACACGGACTTCGGGGTCTCACTTTGACTCGCAGACCCTGCCAACATTCGCTGCTTGGGAATCTTCTCGGGATATCAGATGTGTCGGAAAGCCTTCTGCTGGGAGGCATTTTCTCGAAATGAAGCTGTCTTGGGGTGTGTGATTCCATTAAGGCTGGTGGATCTTGGCACTCTCCGGTGTTAACAATCCCTTCCTCGGCTGCCTGCTCTACCTCCCCCCCCCCCCAATTCTGTGCGTCTGCTCTTCTTCCAGCAATGTTCCCGCTGAGCACTTGCCAGAGACATCCAAATGCAAAAGGTGTTGGCGGGCAAGCTGACCCGATTCGTTTATTCAGGGGCTGGTGACGCTTTCTCCATGGTGGCTGTTTTTTTGGGGCCTGCTTTTGAGCCAGTGTGTGCAAAGCAGGTGACCAAATAGCCACGCGTGTGAACATTCATATCCCTCCTACAGGCTGTGGGGAGGAGGCCCGACACAGCCGGTTTTAGCGCCAAGCCTCTGCTCTCGAGCATATGGAAGGCAGCAGCAAAACACCCGAGAGAAGAACATAAGAGAAGCCATGTTCGATCAGGCTTAATAGCCCAGTGGGCTTCCACAAGAACCCAGCTGGGTGACCTTGGGTCCGTCACAGTTCTCTCAGAACTCTCTGAGCCCCACCTACTTCACAGTGTCCTTTGTGGGGAGAGGAAGGGGATTGTAAGCACTGCTCCCTCTAAGCTGAGTCAGTGTGAGCTAGCTCACAGTTTTTTAGCCTCCGACTCACACATTCTTTGTCTTGGCTCAGGAAGGATGGCTCCAGAGCAAACTCATGCATGCAGCAGCCAAATCCCTCGCTCACAAAGTGCTGGTTCTTACCTATAAAGCCTTGATGGCCAGGGTCCAGCGTACCTAAGAAACTGCCTTTCTCCATATGTTCCCCCAAGAGCTCTACGGTCGGGGTCGCAGCACCTATTGGTGGTTCCCGGCCCCAAGGACATCAAGCTGGCTGCAACCAGGGCCAGGGCTTTCTTGGCGGCGGCTCCTGTCTGGTGGAATGAGCTCCCAGAGCAGGTTTGGGCCCTGCGGGACCTGGCGCAGTTCCACAGGGCCTGCAAGACG